TAGCCTTTGCGTAAATCAAATGATAATGTCTGAGCTGTGCGCACATGTGACAGCTTAATAACTAACTAGTAAGGGAAACAAATCAAATATTACGCATACGCCATGTGAGACCTGGCGAAGGGCTGTGCAAGTTATGTGAAATGCGAAATTCAGGGGGCAATCGTTGCCCAAAATGCTTGATATTTTCTTTTTCGGGCCCTACCCCCAACTTAAGTGCGCTCAAAATCAACACTTTAGCAGAGTGGGAGTGTGGAGTGTGTGTGAAGTTGTTTACTTGAAGGGCGGCTGGGACAAGTGAGGCTGTGTTTACTTCAGCTTGTGGTCCCTCAAGTTAAATTGCAAATTGCAAAGTTGGCATTTTGTATATGTGAGCCTGAGCCATGACGTTTCCATTTGTGTGACCAACTGACCCGGCTCTCGACCCCCAGCTGTGCCATTGCTTATTGAAATTGCGTCCGGACGGGCTGCTTTTGGCTTTTGAATTTATATTGTGTCGAGTGCTGACTTTTGAAAATGCACTCAACTGTAATCTGTATTAAGTATGTGACTGCTCGAGCTGCTCTCTGTTTATGCTACCACTGTCTACAGTGTAGCCGAGTATCGTTTTTTCTCTCTCTCTCTCTCTCTCTCTCTCCCTCCGCGCTCATGTGTTCCATTGTGCGAATCGCTTTCAACAAAGGCTCAACAATTTGCTAGTTTACATTGCTTTTGGGGTTTGTCCTTTGTGCTGATCTGAAGACGCGTCTGCTACAAACGCAAACTGCTTAAGCATTATTTCTATTTACTTTCCGCTCCAGCTGAGCTGCTTGAAAATGCTCAACTAAAAGATACCCTAAACAACGATAGAATCCCGTCTTGTTATACTTAAATTAGAAATTTCACTAATTATACACCAGTAACTATCATGCTCTATGTTAGCCCAATTCGATGGGTTCAGGGTATAAAAACTCATTTGGCCGGTTTATTTAAAACTCGCTGGGAAACTTATTCAACACTTACCCCAAATTAACAGCAAACTTTGTTGATGGTCTACGCGTTTTTCATACACTCGCTGTCCACAAAGCAGCTCGAGTTAAGCTCAGCTGCAAGTCGAATGCAACTCAAACAAGCAGCGGCTCCAGCTTCGCCCGTCTCGCCCATCGCAAAGTTAAAACTAAAGACAGTCAATTTTAAGCGAAATTCTTGCTGTTCGTCGTTCGCCGTTCGCTGTGCGCCTAAGTCGGTTAATGCAATATGCATTAGTTGACAGTGCCGCTGGCTCTGGCGTGGCAGCTGTGTGAGTTTCCACTGGGGCTCACTTGCCATCAAGTTGTGCAAATTAAAAGTTATTGGAGTGTTGGCTTAGCTGCTGTACAAATTACTTGCGGGTACCTTAGGAAGTGCCAGCGTTCTTTGAGATCCCACAAAATATAGCAATCAAAGTTGCAATAGTCAAACAAAATAGATAATTGCTTCTTCATTGCAAATCCAACTAGAATGATAAAAGTCTGATGTAGTTGCATAATGAACATGTTTTAGAATGTCAGGTCTTTCTACATTTGAGACGAGCTGAATTCAAGGCCTGACTTACATTTGAGCTAAACGGAAAAACTTATAATTGTATCTTGAAGTCAAAGCACATCGGCACAGCGACATAATATCTAGAGAGTACAAACAGCAGAGGCGCGACCGAAAGGACTTGTGTGAGGAGGGTGCGAGGAGGGTGATCCGGCAGTCAGAATACACAAAATGTTCTTTTCAATTAGTGTGAGAGGAAGAAAGGCTGCAAAACTAAATCCGCCCCATCAAAATAAACTCACGAAAAAGCATTGAGCGGGTTGAGGCAAACTCTTTGCGAACGCAGCAGTAAAAGATGATAAAATGCCTGAAATGCGACAAACAGCTGTCAGCTTGACAGTGCAGGACGCAGCGCCTGGCGGCCGGGCTAAAAGCCAGGCTAGGCCACAGAACACGGCAGTGAAAGAGGCAGGGGCAGAAAGAGAAATAGAGAGAGATAGCGATAGCAACAGTGTCCTGGTGACAGACTATGACATGGTTTTCATTTACGCTGACTGTGCCAACTGTGCGCCTTGGTTTGTCACTGTCTTTGCCGTTATCATTGCTGTTGTTGTGGTTGTTGTTGTTGCAGTTGTTGTTGTTGTTGTTGGCACCTCAGCATCGTGACTTTGGCCCAGAGACAAACGCAAACGACCTAAAGTTGATGCGAAAATGCAAACACGAAATGAAAATAAAAACACGCGCAGCCAACATGCAACTAAAGACCAAAATATCCACAAAGAAAAGTCTCTGTAAACAAAACGAAAGACTGCAAAAACAGTTCAACAGCTGAAGTTGAAGTCGGTGGCGAAAGCATGAAAAATGTGTTGAACTGTCGAGCTGCACGTCTTTCTCCACCTACTTCTAGAATGGACCATAAAAAAGTTATGCAAGCTACTCTATGCCATATACTCTATGAAGGCAGCAAACATTTTAAAATAAAAGAAATCAAATGATAGAAACCAATTATATAATTGCTTCGTTATTATATTGAATATTCTAATTTAAGAGCGGAAATTGGCTTTCGTAAGAGATTTTATATTTGTGGAGAGCTTTCAGTCTTGTCTTTCTCTCGTATTCGCATTCTTGGTCATTCACTGAGTGGATCGGGCTTCATCATGCTAAGCCAGCGCTCATAGAAAATACTTGCAATACTTCAAAATATTCCCTTCATTACTTCAATATTATTCAATGACAGCTCATCTTTGTCTATAGAGTATCTCCCAGTCGAGCCTTGCCCACTCAAGCACTTTGCCTAGTTGTCTACTTGGAACATTGTTGTCTTTGTCATTGTTATCTTTGTGCGCTATTCAAGTTGTTCACGTGGGCATGTCTTAAAAAATAATCTCCTTCAATTGTGCATTACGTGCCTTCAGATAGACGCACACATTTCTACGCATGTGTGATGGATTCTCAGGAAAAACCATTGTAAAAGAATGTTTTCTATTGCAGCTTAACCGCGACAACTTGTGCTAGAAATGTGCTTGAATAGGATAAGATAAGAAGAGATTTCCCTAAGCCTATTTCAAATGCCCGTTATATTGATTGATTTAAGATTGCATTTAAATATGTATTCTCATACCTGAAACTAGTTTTAATTTCATTTTAATCTACTATCTAGACTTTATACAGATGAGAATATGAAAATATATAAGATGTCAGCAGGATATCAGTAAAAGTTTGTACCCGGAGTACCCAAGCAAGAAAAACACACGAAATGCCGCCGGCTGTTGAGTTTGACATTTGCATACGGCCCGGGCTGATAGGTCAAGGCTTAGCCAACTTTCAGGTGGCGTTCGGTGATGAAATGTCAAACTCTAAGCTAGATTAAGACGGCACAAATTGAAATAACGCCTCGGAGCTGGTTGCTCGTTTCTTGAGGTAATCGCTTCTTAAGTGCTTAGAAATTTCCGTCCCCCTTCTCAGGGGCAACGACAGTCGCTCGCCTCAGCTGCCCGGGCAGATATTTAATTGAAGCAAGGTCATCTAATTGAGGCTACGCAGCATTGCAAACATTTTGCATGCCGAGCATTTCACTTGGCAGGGCTGGAGCAGCGACCGGAGGGCCACTTGCAGCCTAAGTTGATTTTATGGTTGGTTTTTTGTCATTCCACTAATTAAAGGCACATTAGGCATTAGGCACTGGCACTGGCACTGGCTCTGTCTCTGTCTCTGGCTGTGGCTCTGCACCAGGCCAAGGCAATCTCTGTTTGGGGCTTCGGGCTTTTGGTTATCTGACTCAAGCTGCGCCGGCCGTGTGTCCTCGTACATAATTATCTAGGGTCCTTGAGAGAGCAGGCGGGCGGCGGTTGTTGTCCTCTGTGCTGTGACTTTAACTCAGGCGCTCGGTGCTTGCCATAAAACGAAAGCTAAAATTAAAATAAAAATTAAAATTAAAAGGAATTAAAATAGAACATTTACCCATGGCAAAAAGAGCGTATTTCAACTTGAAAATAAATGCAAAATGGAGCGTTTTGATAAAAGGCTTAGTTAACGTCCGTTTAGAAATGCGCTAACAAATTACGATACCTTGACTTTTTTTTCCTATTTTCTTCTTTTTCTTTTATGTATGTGTTTCTAACTGGGGTCGCAAGTTATCTGGTTAGGCCATTTAGCCATGAAACTGCAAACGAACTGATGCTGGGGCCGAAAGTGTTTGCTCCTTAAGTCTGTCAAGTGACAGGTTGAGTGTCCACAAATTGCCATTGACGCTGTGCATAGACCAGTTGGGGTTAGAATTAATGGTGGGAAAACCAACAAAATGACTACATATGTATGTCATTTATAAATATAATTGATATATGTATGTGTATAATATATATGTACTCATATAATTATTAAGAATTATCGCAGTTCAAATAACTGTACTGAGCTGTACTAAGCATTATTTATGTGCCAGTTAAGATAAATCAAAACAATAAATAATAATGAACAAAATTTCCTTAACTAAATTTTAGCCAAAAATACCTAGCTGTTTATTAGCTATTTTTCCCCAAAAATAGGCCAACCAAGCCGGCTGTGTACGCTTTTTTATGTGCTTCATGAATTTCATGATTCAATTTTATATTCCAAGAATGACCTAATCATAACTTGTAAATATTCAATGCCCTAGGGGCAAATGTCAGCCTATAAATAGTGAAGCACTTGCTTATTCACCTTCAGCTGAAATTGAATTCTTGGAAATATAACTTCAATGATTTCAATTATTAGCACAAAAAATATGAGCGAGTAAAAGAGGTGTAAAAAATAAATAAACTTTCTAACGCTCCCATGGCACAGATACTGACTTCTGTTGATTGATTCGAAAATCGGATTAGTTGATTTAGCGAAGAGTCGACAACAAAAACTTGCCAAATTGAATGGCATTGTAAAATGCAAATTGAAAAGCTCTCGACAGTCAGTTGCCACTTGGCAGCTGTGGAGAATCACACGAAATATTGAAAAAGAGGACAACAATATGACAATGCTTATTATGGCACTTTGGTTTATTGTCTAAATATTTATGCAAATACGTGCCCAAGTCTTTAATCTCGTGCAGAACTTTGCCGAATTGTTTGATATGCAGAAAATTGAAAGGCAAAACTTTTGAGACAGACGACATCGACACTCATACACATACACACACAGACGCAGACATGCGCATGCATCAGAGAGTGTATATAGTCTTGGCTTAAAACAATGCCAAGTGTAGATAGCACTTGAGGCACATCAACGAGACAGTCAGACACAAAGCAAGAGGAAAACAACAAAGCGACAACAATAACAAAACAATACTCGAAGACTCGAGCACATTGTGAAATACATTTTGAAGGCAGTGAACTTCAAAAGCAGTGAAGCACATCACTTTTTCGCAGGTGCTTGCATTTCAATTTAAAAGTTACCTGCCAGCCTGACATAAAAGAAATACGAACGTACGGCCAGCAGATGAAGATCTAAGAGTTTTTTTGGAGTGCAAGAAAACTGGAAATCAAATATTTACTTGACGAAAAATAGTTTGATGTTGTTGCAGATATTCCATGGAAGAATATACATATATACGTGTGAATATTCAAATATGCCTTAACGAAAATCGAAATTTTTTTCTTAATACTTTGTTGGGTAACAGAAAAAAGAATAGATAATTGATGGAAAGCGAGTTTAAATTTAATTAAAAAATGTTTAATTAAGGAAGAGTGGTTCTAAAATATTTGGAAATAAAAACTAAAAAATAGCTAACAAATTGTCAGGGGTTCGTTTTCGGGTATGCACGAAAGGAAAATATGTTGATTTATAGACGGTTGAGTTTGCGTGTCCCATCTCTGGCATTTTATGTACATGCCAGGCTCTCAGTGAGAAACACAATTATAACAGTTGCTGCACGTAGTGAGAGCGAG